CCCCTCCCCTCCCCCTCCTGTGCCGGCCCCACCCAGGCTCCCCCTTCCCCGAGGCCATCACCCCACAGTTGTCTGTGTTTCTGGGTTACCATATATGTTCTTTGGCTAATCTCTTCCCCTTCTTTCATCCAGTCCCCCCACCCCCTCCCCTCTGACAGCCGTCTGTCCAGAAAAATGTGACAAGGTTTATTTGTAAAGTTTTAGTTTCAGTCACATGGAGCATACAACATAAGATCTGTTAATATGCTTGTGAAATCGAGAACTTCATATCTTTAATTACAAAACTGAGAGACAGTTCAGTGACCGTTGGGAAATTAGTCCGAGTATGGATCACCTATAAAGAACTTATTATTGGTAAATTCTCAATCTTGGAGTTACAGGCAGTACTAGTATTTCGCATTAGCGCTCCGTTGCTTTTCCCCTTGTTTATAAAATACTATTTTTATTTTTATTTCTTACACTATCACCTTGGAGTGTGCTATTTTAGAAGTCGCATATTTCAAGGATACTTGTTTTAATTGCTCATTTTTTCTTATTATAAGTCTAAAGATTGGATGTGTGATGTACTTAGATTCCCCAGTTTGTAGACGAGCGTTCCCTGCACATGAAGAATGTACTTTCTGTTTCATTAGAAAGCCGAGCTTTAGCAAAACTTCATAGGCGGAAACTTCTGCAAGGTGACACTCCATTAAGCATCTCTTTATAGAAAACGATTCACACCCTGAGTCACTGCGATTGTATAAACTTGAGATAACCCTACCTGGGCAAATAAAGAGCAACACATTCATGCACTTTAAAGAGATGTCCTGGGTCAGATGATCATTTGCTCGTTGGAAACGGCTAATGAAGTGTTGTGATGATTTATGGCGTGCTGTTGTGAATTTTTTCAACGTAGTAATTTATCTTTCATTTTCAACTGCCTGTCCAGTTCATTTACTGGGTAATAGTTACTTTAAATGTTTTATCAACGGCTTCATTTTTCTGTTCTAGTCTTCCTTGAAGATTCTTATCGTGATGAGTTAGGGAGTCATACTTCATTTTAAATGACTTGTCTTTGCTATGGGTAGTTCGGAAATATAGGCAGAGTAGCTGTAAAGGGAAGCTCAGTCATTAATCTGAGATATCTGTGTTGGATCGACTCCTGCTGTTATTATCAAGAGCTGTAAAAATGTTATGGCTTTTTGGTTATAAAAGTATCTTTTAGAGTAATGTGTGAGATATATGAGGATCACAAGGCGTAGCAGCATGTGTATATTTATAATTAGAAACATTATTTATTAAGTACCATCTCTGTCTCAGGAATCGGATGGTGGAAAATAACTATTTCTGTTCTAATGAACTTTGTTTGGCAACATTTATTGACTACCTACTATGTGCACAGTACTCTACTAGATTGGATGAGATCTACTGTCATAGTGAATATACATATTTTAATTTTATTTAAGAAATATTTGTTGAGTGTTAACTGTGTGAAGTTTATTAAAATTTTTTTTAAAGTGTATTTATACACTTGATAAATATCTAGGTCTTTGGCCACCTTTATAAGCTCTCTATGACCGCTTATGCAATATATTTAGAGTAAATACTGGATATATAGCTCTTATTTCTATTTTGTTAAAGAATCAGATGGAGAGACACAGTCCACAATTATATATATATATAATAGATGATATGGAGTTTTGAAACCACTTGACATTGTAATACTATCTTACTTGCTTAGTAACTTAAAGAATACATATATTATCATGTATATTAAAGTAGACGTGTTTAAGAATAATGTTAGGAAGATAATAGAATGGGGGTTTCCAGCTCTCATCCCCTCACAGAAACATCGATTTGAACAACCATCTGTATGCAACATTTACAAGAGTAAGGAATCCAGGTGAGAGATGATAGCACCTGGGAGGACCACAGAAATAAGAAAAGACTCATTGAGGAGGGTGAACAGGCAGTTCCATGTTCCCTGCATCATCCCTCCACCAAGGCTGCGCAGGACAGTGAGGCCCCGAGAAACCCCCTCAGCAAAGGGGGAGAGAGTGAAGTGAGCCCCTGACTTTGTCGTGGACGCCAGCTTTAGGCTTGCCCTGATGAACCCTGGTGCTCGACTTCATAAGATAGGTGTTTATATCCCCATTTAATTGAAGAGGAGCCTGAGGTTCTCAAGGGCTGAATAGGTAACCCAATAGTGTAGCTAAACACGAAGTATAGTTAAAAATAGTGTTCTAACCTGTCCTGCTCTCCAAAATGTGCTGCAATTGTGGATTATCTTTGGTAGCAGAAGTCATTAGAAAGGCAGTCCTGTATATTTTCAGATGTGATTTTTAATGCTAATGTACTATTTGCTAAGGTCTATGACACGGTATTTTTACATCTAACTGTTTTCAATGCCCCCCTTGCTCTTGTTTACAGAAAGTGTCACCTTGGGTAGGCTTGCGCAAGATCAACATATCCTACTGGGGATGGGAAGACATGTCTCCGTTTACCAACACGACACTGCAGTGGCTTCCTGGGGAACCAAACGATTCGGGGTTCTGTGCGTACCTGGAAAGGGCTGCGGTGGCAGGCCTGAAAGCGAACCCGTGTACATCTATGGCCGATGGCCTTGTCTGCGAAAAACCCGTTGGTAAGTAGGCCAGTAGGTTGGGGTTCCTTTAAAACACGGTCCCGACCGCTGTTTCCACCATCCCTTCCAGGGTGGGATGGTTTGTGGGTCTGTAGTAACTTTTGCCATCTTTTTATCTTGATGCCCATATAGGCTTTTAAATTCACCCACATTCTCACTTACTCCTGTTTGTGATCTTAGCATTAACTTATGAAAATAATGCATTTTATTGTTTTATACAGTCTTTACTTTTCTGGTTGGAATGGTGGGATTATGAACATGTGGTTATAGTTCATTACAGTATACTAAGAATCTGTTCTTAATTTATTATTAATGTCTTTTACTTTGATGATAATAGTCTTTGGAAGAAAGACTTTGTCTTTAAGATTAACAACTAATTTAGAAGCACTTTCATCTTGCATATCAATTATTTCAGTTGGAAAGTAAAAAGAAACAGTTTTGTTACATCTTGTGAAATGGATTTTTGTTATGTGAAGTGAGAAGAGAATATTGAATTCTTTTCTCATTTTGAATATTGTATTTTTTGTTGCAGTAAAATAGTTATAACATAAAATTTATAATTTTAACCACACTTTTTTCAGTTTTATTGAGATCTAATTGATGTTTTAAACCATTTTTCAATGTAGAGTTCAGTGTCATTAAGTACATTACCTCGTGCATTTATCAACACCACCTATCTCCAGAACTTCCCAAACCGAAACTCCATACCCATAAATAACAAGTCTGCTACCCCTGACAACCACCTTGTACTTTCTGTGTCTATGAGTTTGACTACTCTGGGCACCTCATAGGTGGAATCTTAAGGTTTACATCCTTCTGTGATGGCCTATTCTGCTTAGCATAAGGTCTTCAAAGTTCATCCATGTTGTGCATGTGTCCGAATTTCATTTCTTTCTAACCCTGAATAATTATCCATTGTATGCATACACCACACTTGGCTTACCTATCCATCCATTGATGGATCCTTGAGTTGCTTCTACCTGTTGGCTGTTGCGAATGATGATGCTATAAATATAGTTGTACAAATATCAGTCCTAGTTCCTGCTTTCATGTCTTTCCCCAGAAGTGGAGTTGCTATATCATATGGTAATTCTATGTTTAATTTCTGAAGAAGTGTCATATTGTTTGCCATAGATGCTGTACCATTTTACACTCCCAGCAGCAATGTGCAAGGGTTCTAATTTCTCCACATCTTTGTCAACACCTTAAAGATTTTATAGTAAATTATTTATTTTTATTCTTTATATAAGCAACATATTCACTGACAGGACATTTGCTTTGATTAGATGTGGACTATTTATGTAATTGTGGCTGGGAAAGTAAATAATGATAGTATGCAAAGGATTTAGCCAAAAGATAGAACAGTTAGGTCATGTATTGCATTTATACCTATAGCTTTTAAATTAGATACACCTTCATGTACTTTTTAAAGGATTAAACATTCCTAGAAATTATAAAATTTAAATTTGAAAATAAATTTAAGAAGTATCGACATATCTTCGTTAAATTTTTTTTTTTTTACTGAACTTATCAGGGTGACATTGGTTCATAAAATTAAACAGGTTTCACGTGTACAGTTCTACGGTGCATCATGTGTGTATTGTATTGTGTGTTTCTGTCATTTTCGCTTTAATCGTTATCCCACCCTTGGCTTCATTGACGTATTCCCGGAGCAGCAAAATGCACAAAACCCGCTTACCTGTGTTAAATTGCCTCTGCGAGTGAACTCGTTGCGTTTGTTGGCTGATTTCAGTGAGTCCCAACCAGAGCGCGAGGCCGTGCAAGAAGCCGTGCTCGCTGCGGACGTCCTGCTCCAACTGCACGAGCAACGGCCTGGAGTGCATGTGGTGCAGCAGCACGCGGCGCTGCGTGGACTCCAACGCCTACATCATCTCCTTCCCCTACGGGCAGTGCCTCGAGTGGCAGACGGCCGCCTGCGCCCGTGAGTGTCCCTGC